CGGATCTGAACGGTATCTACGCAGCATGGAGACATGAAAGACGTCGTGAATCCTGTTCAACTCTGGTGGCAACTCTAGCCTGTAAGCAACAGGTCCTATTCGCTCCAGAATGCGGTAGGGTCCAATGAATCTAGGGCTAAGCTTCCCTTTCTTCCCGAACCGTAGGACCTTCTTCCAAGGTGAAACCTTCAAGAATACCATGTCACCAACATTGTACTCTATGTCTCGTCTCTTTAAGTCTGCATAAGATTTTTGTCTGTCCGAAGTGGCGCGGAGTCGGTCTCTTATCACACGAACCTTCTCCTCGGTATCCTGCACAATATTTAGTCCCTCGAGCTTACGCTCGCTAAGCTCTGTCCAACAAATCAGGGTTCGGCACTTTCTGCCGTAGAGTGCCTCATACGGAACCATCTGAATACTCGCCAGGTAACTGTTATTATATGCAAAATCCATCAAAGGCAAGTAACGCTCCCAATCTTCTCCAAAGTCGATCACACAAGCTCGCATCATATCCTCGACAATCTGTATCACCCTCTCAAACTGGCCATCGGTCTGAGGGTGAAATGTCATATTGAGGTTCAAAGCTGTGCCAAAAGCGTTCTGAAGTCCTCTCTAGAACATCGAAGTGAACCGGGGATCTCTATCAGATATGATTGACAGCGGTGCACCGTGCAACCGAACTATCTCTCTAACATATAAGTCTGCCAATTTGTCCATGTAGGAGTCACGTCTGACGGGTAGAAAATGAGCGGACTTTGTCAACCTGTCAACAATGACCCAGATGGCGTCATTCTTTCGTGAAGATCGTGGCAATCCGATCACAAAGTCTATAGTGATCCTTTCCCACTTCCATTCCGGAATGGTAGGAGGGTGCAGCAACCCTGTCGGAACTTGGTGCTCAGCCTTGACTTGCTGACAAGTCAAACCGCGCGCAGTGAACTCGAAGATTTCCTTTTTCATAGCTGGCCACCAATAGGATTTCTTCAAATCCTGATACATCTCGTTACTACCCAGGTGCATAGTGTATACGGTTCCGTGAGCCTCGCGCAACAAGCGATCCCTCACTCCACCGCGGGGCACCACTAGGCGTTCACAATAGTACAAGACTCCGTCATCGCGAATTGCAAACTCGGGCCTCTTTCCTGTAGGAACTAACTCTCGAGTCTTCGGAAGTTTCGCCGGAATATCGTCAAAACCTCCATCAAGCTTTGAGGTAAGCCCGTGGATATATCTAGTGACTAGAATGTTCATATAAATCGTTTCTACGTTCATAAACGCTCGTTTGATTGAGTTTTGTGTTTGATATGCTTGAAGAACCAAGAATCATAAACCATGAATTTTTAAACTATGAATTAATGATACCAAAATGACCTATGAATCTTGGAAAACATTTCTATATAGTTTTTACGAAGTTCGGTAACCAAAAATGGTATTTTCGAAATTGGACCCGAGAGGTTGAAGAAGATGAACAGTAGCTGAAATGCAGCAGGAAGGATCAATCCTCCTCATTCGATCGATCCTCTGGGTGTGAATTTTATAGTTTGATCGATCTAGACAACTGGATCGATCCTCCGAAACTCTGACCCGAAAATTTGTCTGAAAATGCTATTTTTGAGCTCTAAAATCCTAATTTTGATACCATTTGATTATGACCATTATAAAAATGATTTATCAGAATAAAAGTGATGTTTTTAATAAATAAAAATGTTATGTGATGCATGACGGTAAGTTCGGGTGTTAACACTCGAAGCTAGACCGCTATTTGTTATCGAATGTGATGTTGATTGATGAGTATGATGAAAGATTATTATGATGATTATGGCTTGATGAAACCACTGATTAAAATTATTATCAAGGATTAAATTATGTATTGAAATGAATATGTTGATGATTATGAAATGAACTGGATTGTAAGGATATCTAGAAGAACTCTAAGATATACCTGGGTTGACTTTGGTTTCTAAGACTATCTAGAAGACCTCTAAGATAGCTTAGAAATAGGCCTTGCGGGTATAATCATGAGTATTCGGTGGCCTGGGTTAAAACGTACGTACGGGATCTACAAACCAAACTTGAGGCACTCGTTTGGGGATACCACCCAACCCGACAGTGAGCATTTCGGATCCGCTGTTTGGTTTTTGGATGACCTTAATCGAAGGTAAGTTTAAGATTTTGAAAACCTCTCTTTGAAAATTTATATCTTAAACTAGGCCTAGTTTAAGGGTTAGATAAGAGTACCTTAAACTTGAATATAGTTTAACTATGTTAGACTAGAATTCGTTTAAGAGTTGGTAAACATCAAATAGATTGGCCTTAGACTAAAAATAGTTTAAGGATATTGTTGAATGACAAATGAAGAACATACATGTTGAACGATTGAATAATGAATGTTGAAAATCAAATATTGATTATTGAATATCTGAACTGAACATTATGTGCATGATATCAAATGATTTGATTGTGAATTGAGATACAATTTATATGGATGTTCGACGCATTAGATATGCTTACTCAGCTTTACCGCTGAGCGTGTAGTATGTTTTATTTGCTACACGCAGGTTAATAGAAAGAATGATGTGACGTGATCCTGGAGGCAGACGGAGGCGAGATAGTCGGAATGGATGTGATGGTTTTGAATTAAAGAATATAAATAAATTATGTTTGTGGTTATAATTTGTTAAGCTTCCGCAATATTGAAAACTCTGTACTGTTTATGATATGAAAAATATTATTGTGATAAATAAAAGTGTTTGAAATGTTTTAAATTTTACGATTACCAAGTTAATACTTTAGTCCGAAAGGGGTTGCAGACCTGGACAGATTAGGGTGTTACACTCGATGCCAGGAGTAGGTTGAATCAAGACTGGTGCCTGGGTCAGGCACTCCTTTAGTTGATCAAAACTGCGCTGGCACGCTTCTGACCACTCAAATTTGATGTCCTTCCGCAGTAGCTTGTTCAATGGAGTAGCGATCGAGGCGAAGCCCTTAACAAATCGACGATAGTAACCGGCTAACCCAAGGAAGCTCCTCACCTCACGAACATTCCGCAGAGTCTTCCAATCCACTATGGCTCAAATCCTTCTGGGGTCTACCTGGATACCGGTGGCAGAGATAACATGTCCTAAGAATGTCACCTCACTCAACCAGAATTCACACTTGGACAACTTTGCATACAGCTTGTGCTCCCTCAACACACTCAAAACCAATTGCAAATGTCTAGCATGCTCCTCCTGAGTCCGTGAATAAACCAAGATGTCATCGATGAACACTACTACGAACTGGTCCAAGTATGATCGGAACACACTGTTCATAAGCTCCATGAATACTTCCGGGGCATTAGTCAATCCGAAAGGCATGACTGAGAACTCATAATGCCCATAGCGTGTCCTAAAAGCAGTCTTCGGAATGTCTTCTCTCTTAACGGGAATCTGATGGTATCCAGAATGCAGGTCAATCTTTGAGAATACTGTAGCCCCTCTGAGCCGGTCGAACAGGTCGTCGATGCGAGGCAACGGATAACAATTCTTCACTGTGGCTTTGTTCAACTACCTGTAGTCGATGCAAAGTCTCATGGATCCATCCTTCTTTCAAACAAATAACACCGGTGCTCCCCATGGGGAAATGCTAGGTCGGATGAATCCCTTTTCTAGTAGCTCTTGCAACTGAGCCTTCAACTCCTTCATCTCAGCAGGTGCTATACGATACGGTGTAGCAGATATGGGTTCCGTACCCGGAACGAGATTGATCGAGAACTCTACCTCTCTCGGCGGAGGCAAACCAGGAAGGTCTTCGGGAAAGACGTCGGGGAAGTCGCAAACTGTAGGGATGTCCTGCTGACGTGGTGATTCTTTTCGCATATCCTGAACATGACACAAGAACATCTCGCACTTCTTGCGAATCAAGCGTCTCGCGCTCATGGACGATATAAACTCGGGAGCCTTGGGGAACACCTCCCCGGAGAGTGACACGTCGCTACCGTCATCGGCTCTCAGCCATACGGTCCAACTACTGCAGTCGACCATTGCTTTATGCTCGGTGAGTCAATCCATACCAAGGATAATGTCAAACTCCTTGTGTGGTAGCTCTATCAAATCTGCAGGGAATTGCTTCCCTTGCACGGACAACGGACACCTATGATAAATGTGATGAAGACGCATGCTATGTCCTAGCAGATTCGATACTACGGTAGGTATCTCAAGGTCACTCCTCACGATCGTAGAATTAGCAGGCATGCCAACATAGATATAGGAGAGCGTGGAACCCGGATCGATCAAGGCATGCATAACCGAATCAAATAGTATGAACGTACCCAAGATAACATCGGGATTAGGATCTGTGCGCCCCTGCATGGTGTAGGTACGCGCTGGTGCACGGCCTGTCTGCTGCGGACGTGGTCTCTGCTGATTATTTGCGGCTGTAGACTACTGACTCCGTGCTGGATGCGATGCGGCAGGCTGATCCGGAGCTCTAGGAAAAACAAGCTCGCTGCTAGGTTTTGTCGAGCAATGCCTCTTGAAATGCCCTGACTGACCACAACCCAAACATAAGCCTTGGGCGAGCCAACACTCGCCCGTGTGATGCCTACCACACTGTACACACTGCGGGTGGCTCTTCGTTCTGATCGCGTTGCTAGCGGCGGCCGACGAAGATGGCTTCAACTTACTCCTCTTAGGCGGCGGCGCACTCAAAGATCCCTTCTCGTACCTCTTTCCCCCGAATCCAAAACTCTTCCCGCTCGGCCCGGCGCTGGCCGCGGGTCGCGGGTCTTTCGTCGCTCGATCCTCCTTCTTGGTCGCCTACAAATCGTCCAAGCTCTTTTCTGTCTTCACAATCAAATCATACACCGCATTAAAATCTATCGTCGTGATCAGCGCGGCGTACGGCCTCAAGTCCGGCCGTAGCTTCTTGACGAACTCATTTAAACGATCCTCCGGAGTCGAGACTAGACTCGTCGCATACTGGGACAGGTAGTCGAACTTCTGTCTCAGTTCAGGCAGTGACACCCCCTCCTGCTTAAGCGCAACGAACTCATCGAGCCTCTCCTTGCGGTATCGGGTGGGGACGTACTCCTTCGTGAAAGCTCAATCAAAGCGATCCCAGGTCCAAGGCTTGGGCGTGTGTAGATCCTGGTCAATGCGCTTCCACCAATTATATGCTCCCTTCCGGAACATCTGTGACGCCAACTCCGAGCGATCTGCATCAGGGACTCTCAAATTCTTGAGTACCCGATCCATCTGCTCAAGCCAATCCAACGCAATCTGGGGCTCCCCCATCTTGTCTCCTCGAAACTCTTCCGCTCCATTATCCTTCAATGTCTTGAAGGTAACGATGCGCGGCTGCGGCTGTAGTGGTGGCGGTGGCTGGAACATAGGCATAAGCTGCGCCATGTGCTGCATATAATGGGCCATCATAACCGAGAATATCTGCTCATAGGCCACCTGCGGCATCGCCAACGGTGGCATCACTGGAGGTGGTACGACTGGTGGCTGTCCCGCTGGCTCAGGTTGATTCTGCTGCTGCCCTCCGTCACGGCCTCCGCACTTTGAGCTTGGGAGCCACAAGTGGCACACGTGCGAGTGCACGAGGCCGAGGCCTTGCATGACTGGTACCCAGCTAAGAACTGAGTAAGATTTTATTATTCCTTTAAGGGTTCAGTCTAGAATTGTATATTGTCTATTAGCTATAAATACTTATTACCTTCCCGGGGCAGAGGAGTTACGTGAGATGCATATGCGGCTGAATTATTCATTTTATTTTATTTTGAAAGGGTCCAAAGACCGATTTTAAAACCAAATGCTTTGATACCAAAATGTAACACCCCAACCCGCGTAACCCAAACCCGTGAGACAGCGGACCGGTGTGCCACTGGATTGGTATCCGAATTTACAACATTTTCAAAACAATTTAAAACAAACATTCTATCAATACATATAAAAATCCATCGGAGTAATTTAAAATAATGCAGAAGCCTTTTTAAAGTCAAACAACTGGGGATCTTGGCGGAGGACGACAGACGATTGGCGGCGTTGCAACTCGACGGCGAGGACGACAGACGCGGGTAGTGGAGGCGATGTCCAGCATTCGGCATGGCGGCGCTGCAACTCGACGGCGAGGAAAGACGCCGGTAGTGGAGGCGACGAGCGCAGCTCGAAGATTGGGAACCGTGGTCGGCGGCGCTGATCCTGGCGGTGAGCGGCGGACTTCTGGCGAAGGAGAAGCATCGGCGACTGGCTGGGGAAGGACGACCTGCGACCGGCGACTGGTTCAGGCGGCGATCGAAATGATGAAGATGAAGGTGACGATGAAGGTGTGCGGTTCTCAAATCCGAACGGAAGAAGCGTACGTTTATATGCCTTATTTTAATATTAATAGGTTTAGGTTTTACTTATTAATCCCAATACTAGTGGTTTGGGCTCCGGGCCCAAAATACCTGATTAAACGGCCATAACATGAGCTCCATAACTCTGATTCGCGAGCCGTTTGAACCGACGTGATCACAAAAATATTTCCTACAAGATGACATAAAAGTTGGGCTTAGAATCCAAATTATAATTTTAACCCCTTTTTAGGCCCAATTCGTAATCAGTTACTCTAACTAATTTAATTAATTCTTTTGGGCAAGATTTCGGGGCGTTACAGTTTCGTTGTTGGAGGTGACCTTCCCAGAGGATGCAGAGTCGGCCATGGTTGCCGGAGTAGAGGAGAAAACGGCAGTGGAGAAGAGGGGGAGGTTGGCCGAAAATCAAGAGAAGGAGGAGGAGAGGGAAGCCCTGAGAATTAGGGCTCCGATAGCATGAAGAATGAATATTTTCTATTAAGTGATTAGGGGAGATTACACGTCTTTATATACAAAGGTTTCCTAATGATAATAGGAAACAATAATTAATACACCCTATACAAATATGGTAGCTACCAATATACATAAATATTAAATATAGTAAATTATATTTAACATATTTAAGAATATGCATATGTATATGTATATGTATATGTATATGTATATGTATATGTATATGTATATGTATATGTATATGTATATGTACATGTACATGTACATGTACATGTACATGTACATGTACATGTACATGTACATGTACATGTACATGTACATGTACATGTAGATGTATATGTATATGTATATGTAGGTTTGTCAAATCTATCTTGTAAGGCTTGTCATACTGGTCTAAGTCTCGCTCGTAAAATCAGCTCTTGGGCATGTCAGACTCGTTCAAATACACAAAGCTCCCAAAAATTTGTGGGCCTAGTTTTCAATTTTTTTGCTCTTATGTGTGCTTATTTGTCATTCACAAGTCAACTAGTCTTAAACTATTGTTAATATTTTGAACAATACTAACATATTAAATGTAAATAAACCATGACACCTCAATACCTTAACAAGGTCCCCATTCGAATAAAGTGTATTGAAATGATGTTACTAAAACACTAATTTGACACATTAATTGATATAATCAATGCTTAGGTGAATGGTGACATGGGGTTAGTAATTATATGATCCTTCATAGTACATATATATGAGTTGAATTAGTCTTTGTAGATATTTTGATTAAAAATTCATTTGTCTACACCTAAGTTTTATTATTCTTTTATCATTAATACGTGAATTTTTTGACTTACATTTATTTTGAGTCAATTTTTTTTGAGTGAAATTTCACTCACATTTAGTTTTCTTATATGACATGTTAAAAATTCATCAAATTTTGAAGCAATAAGATGCAAGATGAAAATTAAAGAAAACACGATAGACTATTTTGGATTATATTTATTAAGACATTTTTTTATTCAAGAAAAACTAACGAGAGTACTTCAACTTGCATGCATATATGTACCTAGACGGACAATATAATTACTAACCTCATGTGAGCATCTACCTATATAACATTTGTGCCCAATAATGTGCGAACTCAACGTTTTAATAGCACCTTTAAGACAAGTTCTTTTAGAAGAATTAAATTGATTCCCAATTTGACTCAATGCAACATAAGAAGACCAAATTAAATTTATTTAAGAGTGCATTTATAGGTGGGGTCAAATTGAGTATTTCCTCTTATTTTGCTCAAATCTAACCCTCTCTTTGTAAGGGACAACAAATTGCGTAGAAAGAAAATATAAAGTGAAAAATAAAGAGAAGAGGAAATAATTTTCTTTTCTTCTTCAAAATATTTTATAATTATTTTTTTCCTCTCTAAAATGCATCCAAAGAATTTATACCGAAACAGTACCTTTAAGGTACTACCTTATATATGTTTATACCAAAATAGAAAAACTTATAATGTCAAATACTAGTTCTGTCCGGATATGTTTGTCCAGTTTAACCTTTTTAAGTCAAACTGAATGAATATAGACCTTCAACTATTCTCAATTTATGTTTTATATTAGTATAATGAAATAAAATTTTGAAAGTTCTAAACAAGATAAATCAAATTAAATTATTTTAGAATAAATATATATTATGCTTTATTTGAAAAATAAAAAAGTCAAACTAGAAAAACATTTACACACAGGGTATTAAAAAAATATGAGGCTTCTATGATGCATCCGTGATGGCCTATGTGGCATCCACGTATGCCCATAATGGGCCGGGAACACTGTCCCCCTCCCATGTGAGCGTGATGCACGTGATCATCATCACCTCCATCACGATAGTTTTCTTTTTCATTTCTCCTTTTTTTCGTTTTTTCATGCCTTTCTCCTTCCTTAACATGGGTTGTTTGTTTTTTGTTTGCTTTCTTTCTTTGGTTTTCTCCTACTTTTCCATTCTATTTTTTTTTCTTTTTCTAAATTTTAATTTTAGTTTTTTTGGATAATAAATAAACTATTTATTTTATGAATAGTTTTTAAAATGAATTTACAATTTTTTATATGCACTTTTAAAATTAATATTAACAATGTATACACACACGCGCGCACGCACACACAAATGTATATAATATTTTTAGTTTAAATATTTTTAATTAAAATAGATGAAAAAAGAATATAAGTTATATTCTTTTGAATAAGTGCCATCTATCACTCTTTATTTTTGCATAATGTCAGTGTGATTTTAAATTTGAATTTTAATGATATATTTATTTAATATTTTTATTTTAAATCATTTTCATTTAAATATATTTTAAAAAATTTAAAAAAAAGAGTGTGATGGGCTTGATCTATACTCATAGGGTGTGATAAGATAGAGAAAAACTAACATGACGCTGAGTGTTATGACATGATAAGCGTGATGGTGTGATCCATACCAAATGATCTAATTCTTGTTAGTGAAGAATAAAGCATATGACTATACGGGTATAATTCTATAAATGTATAATGATAGGGAGTATAAGTTTTATTGTTTGGATTTTTTTGTATTATTTAAATTCATGTTTATATATAAACCTTAATACATAAAAAAAAGTTTTATACCGAGTATATCCAGCGTTGTTAAAGTATAGGTGAGGTTGAGGTATCAAAACCTTTTCAACTTTGATTTTCGAGAAAAATGTATGGGTATTTTTTTAGCGCTTTCTAAAAAATCGCGCAAATATAATCCTATATATGAGCATCATATTCTCTCGCTTGCTGGACAACGCCTCTCTCTCCCTCTCAATACACTCACACACTCAGGCCTTTGACGTGGCCTCATAGCGTCATCACCACTCCTCTCTGCTTCAAAACCGAAACGTCTGAATTGAAAGCCATTCACATTGATCATACGGGAGGGGACTCTATCTACGGAGCCACATCTGAAAGGAACGGTGGTGCTGTTGAGCGGCAGAAATGGCCGGAAATGATTGGATAAACAGCTACTTGGAGGCGATACTGGATGTCGGGCCCGGGATCGATGATGCGAAATCGTCTCTGTTGCTCCGGGAGAGGGGCAGGTTCAGCCCTACCCGTTACTTCGTCGAGGAAGTCATCACTGGCTTCGACGAGAGCGATCTCCACCGCTCTTGGCTCCGAGTAAGTCACACACACACACACACACGCACATGAGCTCTTATCTTTCTGTATCTATATCTTTACATATCTGTTCCTCTGTATGAATACCTAGTTTTTTGTGAATTTTGACTGATTCATGTGTATAATGGCTGATAGGCACAAGCGACTAGGAGCCCTCAAGAGCGTAATACTAGGTTGGAGAACATGTGCTGGAGAATTTGGAATCTGGCTCGCCAAAAGAAGCAGGTTTTGTTTTCTTCACTCTTATGGAAAGAAATTCTTAATGTTAGGTAATATTTGCTACTGTGTATAAATTCTCTGGACCTGACAATGACTATGCATTGGTTGATCTCTTTGACGGCGTATCGTAGGAAGTGACAGTCATGTTTCACTTATAAATCAGCTCTCGGGGTAATAGCTCAACTGTATAATTGCTGATGATAACATTTCGGGCTGTTTTGTATTTTTTTCTATTCCTTTCAATGATTTCTAGCTACGTTCTACTGATTCTTCAAAAAGGTGCTGCTTCTTGTCCCCGAAACATTTCCGTTTGGCCACTGGGGAACATCCTGACACTCAAATCGTTTTATAAAATTTGAAAAAGTTGTTGTTTTCACTTTTTCCACCTCGTCCGGCATAAGTACCCATACCCATTTCGGTGCTACTTAGGTTTCTAGTGTGTTTAACCTCTATTTATGTTGTGTTGAGATGTTTGAAAAGTGATATAACAAGAATTTTTGAAATTTGTCGTTACGTTCGGTTTGGCCCACTGATTTTATCCATTAACGGTTAGTTTGGAAACAAGATTCCGTATAAATGTGCCTTTGTTACACTTAGATATTCGACAGCACGTTTTCTGAATGCCATATAATTGGTTAAATTCCATATCTATCAGCATTAAAGGACACGTTATTTTGATGACGTTATTTTAGGGAAACTAAGAGTCTTCTCAACACTAAAAACTATGCTTGGCCCAAAGCTATCATTGGGCAAAAACGCAAAGGAGAAATACGTAAGCATGGCTACACGACAAAAGCTTGACTTTGAATTAATACGTTGTGTTTAATGTGATATGCGTTGTCAAATATCTCAAAGAGCACACGTTGACATCTTACAAACGGTTATTTTTAATATAATAAATTTTCCCCAATTCATATATTTTATTTATAGCATAAAATTCAAGTTTTGACTAGGTTTGGACAACCATAGTAAGGGTATGTTCGGAAAAAACTTTAACATTTGGATTTAGTATTTTAAAAGGCTACCTAACAACATTTAGCTTTAACATTTTAAAACTAATGTGCAGATTAAAAGTTATCTAAAATGCTACGTTAATTGAAAATGTTGTTCCCAGACAAGGCATAAGAGTCATTTTATTCCTTTTCCCGTGGTTAATTCAGAATATTAAAACACACCATTCACTTTGAATGTAAGATGTGGTAAACCAAGATATGATAATTTTTGCCACATCTTTTATCATAACACTAGGAGTTATTAGCTTCATTTAAAACGGTTTCCTTCATGGTAGATGTGAAAATATGAGTTCTTGCTTTCCTTTTCAGTTCATCGTAAAATAAGGTTCCAGTTCCTTTAAAAGGAAAGAATTGCGTGGTTTCTATCATTTCTCTCCTTTGCCTAAATATCAGCAATACAAATTCACTCAATAACTGTGCCGGGTCAAACATGGAAACTTTTCGTGGGATGGAGTGGGTGTTAGAGAAAGTGGTTCATTACCAAGTGTAACAGACCATTTATGATGTGATCTTTTTGCTGTCAAAGGCTTGCCCAAATAACTGCATTCTCAGCATAATGACATGGAACGGTACTTGCATACATGCAGTTAAAAGTTTAAAACAGCAGAGGTTTTACATTTCACGTGGTTCTGCAATGCATACTAAGTCCTCTCAGTACTATTAAAGTTTTATTTTATTTTTAAAGGAACCTTCTCATTTTAGAGTATTTAAGAAATGAAATTTAAGTACTAGAGGCTTACCTCACGGGCAATTCAAGCTCCTCAACATTTTCTAAATTTATGTTTATAATTCATTTCCCCTCTCATTATATCGTGAAGCTTTGCTTAAACAATTTCTTTTGCACCAACTAGATAACTATTGCTGAGCAATTGCTTATTTTTTCTTTTGGCTCAAATATATCTTTCAATAGCTTCTGAAGAATGACTGTCCCGAGAGACATGTGTTTGTTACACTGTTTTATGTTTTGTTTTTTGTTGTTGTTAATGGTCCCTGGCACAGCTGACCTATATGCTTTAGATTGTAAATTACTCCCCAAATTAATTCTCGTTGCTTTTTCAGGGAGTTGAAGAAAAAGTGAAATTATGTGATTGGGATTCCGGTGGGAGTACATAGTTGAAATTTGGTTGTGTGGCCAATTTTGTGGAGTTGTAGAATGATTGAATGAGTTGACATAATTGGTGCTTCGTGTTATTTCCATTCTCAATTATATTAATACGTACATGCAGCTTGAGGGAGAGCAAGCTCAGAGGTTGGCAAAGCGCCGTCAGGAACGTGAGAAGGGCCGCAGAGAGGCAGTTGCTGACATGTCAGAGGACTTATCAGAAGGAGAGAAGGGGGATCCAATCAGTGATATTTCAGCTCACGGTGAAAGCACCAGAGGTCGGTTGCCTAGAATTAGTTCCGCAGAGACAATGGAGTATTGGGCCAATCAGCAAAAGGGGAAGAAGTTGTATATCGTACTTATAAGGTAAAGATTCATCTTTCATCATCATCATCATTATCATTATCCGGGAATATCCGCACCTTAACCCCAACTAGTCGGGGTTGGTCGCATTAAATTTATACCGCCAGTTAATTGCATTAAATTAATTAACACTATACATCCATGCAAAAAGCACACTGGCAAACATTCTTTTCTCTTGATCTTGGAGCAAAGATGAATTGTTAAGAAGTCACAGGACCTCTAATATGCTATATGAAGGCTTGATATTGATGTCATTTTCTTATATGGTACTCCCTCCGTCTTAAAACTAACTTCCCGTTGCGCTTTAGGATGTTTGAGTGAAGTTATTTTCAATTCAATTTATTAGAAAGTTGGTGTGGAACTTAATACAAATTATATATTTAAAAACTACATCAAAAGATCTACAAAACTTGAGGTGACATGGCTATATTATTTTTGTGAATAAGTAACGAAAATAGGCTAACAAAAGTGGATAAAGTTTGACCTAGTTAATAATGAACGAGAAGATAATTTTAGGACGGAGGGAGTAATAAATAAGGAATCTTCACATTATTGCTTTGACATGCTGTTTTAGATGAACATATTTACCAATTATTCGTGATATTGATGAGCTGATGAATATTCCTACCCTAACAAAAAACACACACACCCCAAAATAATTTCCTCTACCCTTTGTTCGTTTGATAAGTCTATACTAAGCATGTACTCCCTCTCACCAATAACTCATAACTATCATTGTTTGCAGTTTACATGGTTTAATACGAGGTGAGAATATGGAGCTTGGTCGAGACTCTGATACTGGAGGTCAGGTAGATCTCACTACTTATGTCTTCAAAGTAGTTGCTATGGATGGTTCTAACTATAATTTATCACTAATGTTTTCTTATAATAATGTAATCATTGTTATTTTGTTCATGCAAGGAACACAAAATGCTGGTTGCATTCTCTAAAAATAAAACGGGTGACTTTTCTCTCTTTTTTTTTTCTTTTCAAATTTGATCAGGTAAAGTATGTTGTAGAACTTGCTAGAGCTCTAGGCTCCATGCCGGGTGTGTATAGAGTTGACCTGCTTACTAGACAAGTCTCGTCTTCAGAAGTTGATTGGAGTTACGGTGAACCTACAGAGATGTTGACCCCTATAAACTCTGAAAGCCGGATGTCTGAGTTGGGAGAGAGCAGCGGTGCTTATATAATTCGTATTCCATTTGGACCAAGCGATAAATATATTCCCAAGGAACACCTCTGGCCTTACATCCCTGAATTTGTTGATGGTGCTCTTAACCACTTTATTCAAATGTCAAAAGTTTTAGGCGAGCAAATTGGTAACGGGCGTGCTGTGTGGCCTGTTGCTATACATGGACATTATGCAGATGCTGGTGACTCTGCTGCTCTTCTATCGGGTGCTTTGAATGTCCCAATGCTCTTCACTGGTCACTCACTTGGGCGAGATAAGTTGGAACAACTGTTGAGACAAGGCCGGTTGTCAAAGGATGAGATAAACTCAACATATAAAATAATGCGTAGGATTGAGGCAGAGGAGTTATCACTCGAGGCTTCAGAAATTGTCATAACTAGCACACGACAGGAGATAGAGGAGCAGTGGCGTTTGTATGATGGATTTGATCCAATTCTAGAGCGCAAACTTCGTGCTAGGATCAAGCGTAATGTCAGCTGCTATGGCAGGTTTATGCCACGCATGAATGTAAGTATATATTTCCTTTCAAATTCATTAACGTTTAATGGGAAATTTGAGTTTAAGATAATGTTTCTTGAACCTAGGGTCGTCTATAGTTTGCACATGAACCTACAGTCTTAGAGTCTTTTAGTCAATTCTTTGAAACCTATTTTTTATACCACATCGACAACTACTACTGTCAAGCCATAATCCCAAATTAAATGGGAAGATCATTTTTCAAGTAATATATTGTTACTATAATCTTAACTAACACTATGAAGAAAGATACGAGTTAGATTTACTCAGAATTAGCATCTTTTCTGGTTGACTATTGTGCAATATTCCTATTAGTAGTAATAGTGGGGAAGTTTGCGCCACTGAGTGGGCAAACTACCAACTACTTTCAGGGGATAGGGTGATGTCTAATCTCTTTCATGTTTAGTTGTTTTCTATCAGACATTCCCACTCCTCTCGCCCATTCACATTTGATGGATGAAACATTAACTATTACTACCTCTATCTGAAAAATGGATGCGACATTATTACTCTTTGGTGACACTTGTTCTTCTTTAGTTCATGATTTTCATTAAAAAAAATTACAATTAAGCAGTCAAATTGTCTCTTGTTTATAATGTTGGAGCCTAATTGTTTATATATAAATAAATGCATTCACTAATACTAGATTAAGTATTACTTTACTAAAGCTGAAAATAACTTTAGCCAACCCTTGTTATATTAGAGAACCATTTTAGGATAGAGGGAGTATCAGCTATGGCTTAAAGTTTCATCTTTCATGAGTAGCTGCACCTTTTGAGTTGATTCCCTAAGTGTTCAAGTCAGTAAATGCTCTCTTTTACCTGAAAAGTGTTAAAAATGTGATCTGATCTGAATTTGTGAAGATCCGATCTGGTCTGAATATATTTGGTCTTGTCTAAATGGAATCTAATTTGAATCGTTCTGGTTTGGTTTTGGCCTGGTTGTGGTCTGGTCTGATTTATCTGTAAGTGCTTCTGGTTTACTTTCATTTGATTTTAATATGAATAAGTTATAAAAAACATAGTGAACAGAACAACATCTTAGTAGGATGTTTCTCAAGTCTATTCTGTTCTGTAGCCTGTTGCATCGAATTGCAGAATTGCATGTGACCTACTCAACACATGCCTGTAGGTAATTCCACCTGGGATGGAGTTTCATCATATTGTTCCACATGAAGGTGATATAGATTTTGAAACAGATGGAGCAGAAGATGGGAAAGCCCCCGACCCACCGATTTGGACAGAGGTTTATATTGACTTTGTTATTTATCCAATGTACTTTCATTTTTTACCTGTAAATTATGATTTGAGTAATTACCTGTTGCTTTCTTCTTATTAAGATTTGATTTGGGCACATATATCTGAATTTGTCTTCTGTTATGGGGTACTTATGATGTAGCATGAGACAGATGGGATTCAAACTCAGGCCTAATTCCTAAAGAGGCTTAATTCATCAGCAAGCACAACCTCAAACCCAACCCCTTTTCTCAAGTTTTTGAGATCTTACAGAAAAAACTCTTGCCTTCTGCAGATAATGCGCTTCTTCTCCAATCCAAGGAAGCCTATGATTCTTGCCCTTGCCAGGCCTGATCCTAAAAAGAACCTCACTACTTTGGTGAAGGCATTTGGAGAATGTCGTCCATTGAGGGAGCTTGCTAATTTGGTACGTTTGAATACTCCCAGCTGTTCTCCACAAATTGTCCCAACTCTGGTCGCCCTATTCAATGAAGTTGCCAACATTTATTCTTTTATTGCCGAAAAAATGTACTTTGAGTAAGAACTTGAAATACAAATGATACGTTCAATTCTCTCATTTATGATTGATAAAATTGAATATTCCAGATTTGGTTGATATATTAAGTATCCTCCTCTAAGTTCTTGTCTCTTTTCAAGGACAACATTCTTTGCTGGATGAAAGGAGTGTAACCAATTTTACATTCCCATCTGCTGATCTAGTTGGTTATTCCGTAACTGTTTTTTTCTTTTCAGACTCTAGTAATGGGTAACCGTGAAAACATTGATGAAATGTCAAGCACCAATGCATCAGTTCTCCTTTCTATACTGAAGATGATAGACAAGTATGATCTGTATGGCCAAGTGGCTTATCCAAAACATCACAAGCAGTCTGATGTTCCTGTTATATATCGTCTTGCTGCAAAAACAAAGGTATTCTGTATTTCTCTCATTTTTATTTCCACAAATTATCTTCTTGTTTACTATTTACACAGTCAAACTTTATCTGTTTTTTTTGCCTATTTTCGTTAATCATTTGATAAAATATTGTAGTCAAGTTACCTCTTCTTTCATTGAACTTTTGATATAGTATTTAAATATGTACTCCATATTTTTTATTTTTTTATTCCACGTCTATTTTAAAATAAGCTGAATTGAAATTAATTTCAGTCTAAAATCGTAATGCGCAACAGGAAAATAATTTGTGGACATAGGGAGTTTGTCCTTAGATTATACATTTCAAAATCACTACGCCAGTGGTCATAATTTTATGGCTCTTTAATATTCAGTTCAAATGCTTCCAGAGTTAGTTGTTTATTGTGTATCTTACCCATACCTCTCTACATGTCCAGTATTCACATTTCAATATACTTCTATCTAGACACTTGTTTCCTTTGTGCTTTTGGCAGGGAGTTTTCATAAACCCAGCTGTTATTGAGCCTTTTGGACTGACTCTGATTGAGGTACTTCTAAGTTCTAATAATGTGAAATTTCTAGGTAATTTATTTGATTCTGTTCTAAAAAAAAATTCATTTCTCTGTTGGACAGGCTGCAGCACATGGTCTCCCAATGGTTGCCACCAAAAATGGTGGGCCTGTTGATATACATAGGGTAAACATTTCTTCTCAATTCTATAATGTAGTGTTCAATAAATATTCTACACATTTGATTTTTCAGATTGTGGGGTTTATTTTTATCTGCAGGTTCTTGACAATGGTCTCCTTGTTGATCCCCATGATCAGCAGGCTATTGCTGATGCTCTTTTGAAACTGGTTGCAGACAAGCACCTGTGGGCTAAGTGCAGAGCGAACGGATTAAAAAATGTACATCTTTTCTCATGGCCAGAGCATTGTAAAACTTATCTCTCTAGAATAGCAGGTTGCAAGCCAAGGCAACCATGTTGGCTGAGAAATGCAGATGATGATGAAAACTCAGAATCAGAGTCACCTAGTGATTCTTTGAGAGATATACAGGATATATCTTTGAATTTAAAGTTTTCACTAGATGGTGATAAAAATGATGATACTGATGCCTTTTTTGACCCTGATGATCGAAAGAGTAAGTTAGAGAATGCTGTCTTGGCTTGGTCCAAGAGTGTGAAGGGCACTCCCAAACCTGCATCAATGGATAAAATAGACCAGAGTTCTAGTGTTGCTAAGTTCCCATCATTGAGGAGAAGGAAGCAGATATTTGTTATAGCAGTGGACTGTGATGCCAGCAAAGGTCTGTTTGAAAATGTGAAAAATATATTTGCTGCGGCGGAAGCAGAGAGGATGGAAGGGTCTATAGGTTTCATATTGGCCACATCGTTCAGCATGTCAGAAGTGCGTTCTTTTCTGGTTTCAGAGGGGATGAATCCTACTGATTTCGATGCTTTCATTTGCAACAGTGGCGGTGATCTTTACTATTCGTCGTCACTATCTGAAGATAATCCTTTTGTGGTTGACTTGTACTACCATTCCCACATTGAATATCGCTGGGGTGGTGAGGGTTTGAGGAAGACTTTAGTTCGCTGGGCGGCTTCTGTTGCTAACAAGAAAAATAAAGAGCATATTGTTGTTGAAGATGAAAGAAATTCAGCCGACTACTGCTATACCTTTAAAGTTTGCAATCCCGAAGGGGTAAGTTAACATGTTCTTTTCCACTTCCTTTCTTTTCATATTTGTGTGCTGATTGTCTGGGGGTAGCGTGTAAGCTTTCTTGATGGGTCACTTTACGAATAAACTAGACTGGTTGCTCTCATTTTCTACCCCAAGTGGTTGCTCCCATCTCCAGTTTCCTTTGTTTTTTTATTATTATGATGTTGTTAAGTGAATGGCATTTGACAATCTGATTGTATTTTGTTAGTAGGTGCTATTATATAGTGCAGAGTAATTGATGATGATATTTCCTCAACTCCTCAGGTTCCCCCTTATAAGGAGCTTAGAAAGTTGATGAGAATACAGGCTCTCCGTTGTCACGTCGTTTATTGTCAAAATGGTAGCAGGATCAATGTGATTCCAGTGCTGGCTTCTCGTTCCCAAGCACTCAGGTAAAGTTTTTATGCCTGACATTTCTGATGACCCACCTTCTTTAAACCTTGATTTAACATATACACACACACACACATTCAGGAGTCATGTGCTTTGAGTAAACGGTAATATTTTCTTGCTCAGGTACTTGTATCTGCGTTGGGGTATGGACCTTTCAAAGCTGGTGATCTTTGTTGGAGAAAGCGGGGACACCGACTATGAAGGATTGCTTGGGGGCCTACGGAAAGCCGTGATACTGAAGGGAATCTGCAGCAGTTCTAGCAGCCTGCTTCTTGCTAATAGGAACTACCCGCTCACGGATGTTGTCCCTTACGACAGCCCCAATGTTGTCCAGACCGGCGAAAATTGTGGCAGCTCCGAACTTCGTGCTTTGTTGGAGAACTTAGGCGTTCTCAAAGGATGAGGAAAGCATTCCCTTTCCTTGTACAGTAAAATTTGATATGGTTATGAAGCAAGCCTGTAAAGACCTGAGATGTGTTGACGTCTGCCTGCTGTAGGGCATTCGTTTCTCTTGAATAATGTGAGGGGAACCCATTGCGGTCGTCCTTTCAACTCTGAAACCGGAACTTGGACTTTGTGTGTGCAGTTCTGTTGGCCTTTTTGGCATATTTAATCGTGGTTTATAGTGCAATTGCATGTGTGATTTATATCCTGGCTAGTTTTCGCATCTACTTTTGCTTATTCTTTTTTGAGTTATGGTAAGGTCATATTTGATTGGGGTGAGCGGGGTGAGCTTGTTACGGTGCGGTACGACATTTAGCTCTTACCGATAACATACTAAATATTTCGCTTTGGTATGAGATTTTACGTTATACCGATCCTGAAATTTGGGTTCGGTATGGTTTCTTATCAACTCGAATCTGTATAAATACATATGTACCTAATTTATATGGAGTACTTTAAAATGCAACAAACCCTTCATTTTTTAAAAATAAAAATGCATTTAAATAAAGAAGCATAAAAGGCTGAAAAATTAGTTGTTGAATTAAAGAAAAAGGTTTTAAAAACTTAGTTTATACTCCGGGGTAATTCACAAACTAAAGAAAATGAATGATACGGAGTAACAAAATAGCATTTTTAAATCTCTCCCCATTTGTTACTTATAGCATTTTTAAATCTATCAAAATGAATGATAGAAGCATTTAAAGCTCGAATAAAAGAACAATGTGCACATAAGTAAATTTGAACCAAATTTTTAAACAAACTTACTCCGTCCCAATTTAAATTGCATGTTTGTCTTTCTTTCCGTCCCAAAATAAGCTGTCTGTTACTACCTCCGTCCCATTTTATAACGACTGTTTCGGTTTACGATGTTTGACTGAAATTATTTTCAAACCATTTTATATGACAAATGGTATAGAATTAAAAAATAAAAATTATATATTAAAAAACTACATCAAAAGATTTACAAAACTAGTAGTGACAATAATATTTTATTTTATCAAATTGCTAACGAAAATAGAGAAAGAAAGTGAATGAAGTTTGACCCTGTGAATAGTAAACAAGCATTATAATTTGGGACGGAGAGAGTAGTTGTTATCGTAAACTTTTAAAAATAAAATATCTAAACTATCCCTAAAATAAATCATCTTTCTTCACCTTATCTTCTAATTCATAGTCATCCCTTCTAAAAAGTAATGACAATTTCGAGAAATCAATTCTATTTTTTCTTTTCTTTAAATATGCCCTAAAGTCAAAACAGACGATTTAAAACGGGACGGAGGGAGTATTATATAATGAAAAATTATAAAAAGAACATTATATGTAGGCATATGTAGACAATTATTATCATCACATATAATCATTGTTTGTGCATGTTTGTGAAACCAATTAGTGTTAAGTTCTTATATGTACATATCTGTGAAATAATTAATGTCAAATATGATGGGTTTCTAATGTTTTTATTCTTTATTCGTGTTTGTAGAACGGAAATCATGGGAGAAATAGGTCATAATGTTAATCGACAATGGGAGTATTTTTTAAAAACTTAATTTTTTTCCCCATTTGTCGAATAATTAAAAATGTGTAGTGTTTGTATATTTAGACTATTGTTTTAAGCTTAAATGTCTTTAAGCTCTTGCAAATTTAAAATCTTTAAGTACCTATTCTACGAGTAAAAGATACTCCGGGGTACAATTCTTTTTCAATAGTAGACAGAATTTTAATTGGGACAAAATTTGTAACTAGTAGGGCTCCACTTGGTACAGAGAACTCAACCCATATGGAAACATTTGGAATTGGAGAATTTGATTTCAATTTAGTTGTTTGGTTGTGAAAGTAGATTTTTGTGTATGAAAAATAACAATACTTTTTTGATCTTAAAGATATTGACTAAAATAGTGTGATTATGAATATAATAATAATAATGATAATAATAATAAGAGTAAATATAATAATAATAATATATTATAACAACAATAATTAGAATGAGAATAATATAAAAAATATACTTAAATAAATGTTTTATAGTTTCCAATTTTTTTCAGTTCCATCTAATTTCTTTTAATTCCAACTTTCCAGTTTTTTCCAATTTTTTCCAGTTTTTCTTGTTCCTTCCAGTTTTTTCTAGTATTTTTGAATTTCTTCCAACATCTAATCATTTTCTTCTAATCCCGACGAATAGGCCCTAATCTAAATGCCTATTAGAGCAACTTAAGGCTTCACTTGTTTATGAATGCTTCTCCGGCTTAAAAGCATGTCCATCAAACCTCGATCAATTTTTTAGTATTTGGATATGGAGATTTATCTAATTAGAAAATTACTTCAGGGTATCCTTGATTTTCTGGTAATAACTCCCAGATTCCATATTATCCTAAATATACTCTAGAATACCCTTTATTTTCTAGTAAGACCTCTCAAGTCTCAAATGATCCAAAATATACTCCAGGAGTCCTTAAAATTTGTAGTAATGTACTCCGAGGGTACATTCCTGTTAATTTGGCTGTTATGGTTGAAATTTTTGTTACTTTGACTAATACTAAATTTTATATTTATAATTATTATTTTATTAAATTTAAATAAAAGTTTTAAGTTTGTCAAAGTAAAAGAAGTTTTAATCTAATGCCTAAATTGAGAGAATGTACCCTCTAAATATTACTCCGTATCATAGTAAACTTTAAGGACCCTGAAGTATATTTCGAATAATATGGTATCTGAGAGTTCTTACCAAAAAATCGAGGGTTCCCAAAAATATATTTCAGACAATATGGGACTTAGGAGTTATTATTAAAAAAAATGAAGGTACCCGAAAGTAATTTTTTATTTATCTTATCGATTAATGATTTTTCAAAGTTTTTGTTTATTATTATTTGTCTTTCGGTCTAACAAAATTGATGTGTTATATATATAAGTACTTTAAACGGATGCAAATATTTATCATATAAATAAGCACCGATGCGGACGGTAATCAAATTTTCGGTTATCCATATATAGCTCTAACTGCAGCGGTGGCATCCTATGTAATGAGGGGTGAGACCAGATCTTAAAATCTTGGGTTTTCCATCAATCCAAAAGGAGTTGAATTCATTCTACTTTCATGGTATGGATCATATCTCTTGGCTTTCCTCTGCCTAAGTTTTTCTCCTTTCTTTGTGATACATCATGATCTCCCTCTCCCCGGCCTGCTGTGCACATCAGCCTCCTCCATGACTACAGGTGATTCATCCCCAATAGGTTAAGAGACGTAATTAAAAATTAAAAATTTTGCTATTTAGAGATCATGTGATCAACGAAAACTCAGCTTCTTGTTTACATTTTTAACATGGTACCGTCATTATATTTTTTGCATCATGTACCGAAAATATGTACCGTTATTATATCATTGAAACGTACAAAAAAATGTATACTAAAAAAATCACCGTTACTCACCGTTATTCTCTTTTATTTATTCAAGAACAAAAATCTATATAAAGGGAAAGAAGATTTTTGTATAATTATCAATTCCACGGAAAGAAGAGGGAAAGGATCTATGGCAATGTTGGTCTCCACCATGGAAGTCGGCTTCCGCGAATAAGCAAAAATGAAGGCCGGAAGATGCGTCCTTTGGGGAGGGAGGTAGTATAGGGGTAGAGTTTAGGGAAGAAGAAAGCATATTGACTCTTAATTCCACTTGAAGATTACTTAATATGCGACTCATAGTACAATATTTTAACACTAAAATAATTATGCATTTTAAAGGTACGTTTTTTCTCAAACATAACAGATTTTATGGGATAGATCAGAGGGAGCATATAATAATCAATCACACTCTGTTGCAACACCATTCTAACGAGTATGGAGCGTGCCAGGAGTAAAAGCTAGCGAAAACACATTGAAAGATAGCAAATACAGCTCCAGTAATCGAGCCAGGTATGTCTCGTGCAACAAACATTAACGATCCTGCGGCGAGGCCAAAAATGCTGCACACACAGACACCCACATATATTGATAAAATAATGACTGGAGAAAAGATTTTGTATAATTCTAAGGATTCTTATTCATTACCAAACTCAAACCCTCTTTATATAGAAAGATGGAATAACCAAATCGGTAAACTTCTATTCCTACCATAAAAAGAATTATATCAATCTAAAAAGCAAAAGTTTCTTATTTTTCCCACGGTTAGTCACGCCAATGATATTATACATACATACATACATACATACATACATACATACATATATATATCTATGTATGTATGTATGGATAATTTGATATCCAAAATAGAATACTCCCTCCGTCCGGGAATGATGTTTCCATTTTAACTTTTCCTCATTTTTAAGAAGCATTGACTAAGGTAGCGAATAGACTAAAATACCCTTACACATTTTCACCCATCCCTAGCCACCAAACAGCACCCACTACCGGCCCAAATCTCCACCGCCGCCAATCTCACCCCACCGCTGCCCCCACCAGTCCTATCGGTGTCGTTATCTCCGCCAGCCCAAACGACGACCATCACCTCAGCCGCCGTCACCACCGGTCCTACCATCACCCATAGCTTCCACCAAGACCATATATGGGAGAAAGAGAAAAGAGAGAAAGAAGGGGAAGAAAGATGACAAGGAGGAGAAGAAGAAAAAGACACAGATCTACTGCAGATCTAATCGACCACCATCGCCGCCGTAGCCCCGTCACTGTCGGGACACTACCATCGGCACGCAGCCCCACCTTCGGCGCAATTGTGGTATAGATCTAAAAGAAAAAATAAGGAGAAAGAAAAGAAGAAAGAAAGGAAGCAGTGTAGACTCGCCATCGCCATCTCCATCGCCATCGCCGGACGCCACCATCGCCGCCGCCACAACTGCCCCCATGCGTATGCGTAGATCTAGAAGAAAGATGGAGGAGAAAGAAAAGGGGAAGATAAAGAAGAAAGATGGAGTAGAAAGAAAGACTATAGAGAGGATTAGAGGAGGAAGAAGAAGAAGATTGAAGAGAGGATCTGCAGAGATGGAGGAGAAAGAGGAGAGAAGAAAAAGAAAAAAATTGAAGAGATAAGGAAAGGAGTGGCGTAGAAAAAAAGAAGGAAAGAGAAAAGAAAAAAAGAAAGGAAGAAAAGAAAGAAAATGAAGAAAAGAATTGGAAGAAAGGGTAATTTAGGGAGATTAGAGATAAAATAGTAGAATGGGAATATCATTCCCGGACGAAAAAAACGTACAATGGGAACATCATTTCCGGACGGAGGGAGTAATAAATTAGAAATCACTCACTATGCTAACAAAAGAAGAAACCCATCACACTCGGCCTCTTTTGGGTCCGTATGGCAACCTGCACAAAATATTCCATTTGATAGAAAAGCCACACGACCGAGCACAAAAAAGATGAAGGCCGAAAGATGCATGTTTGGGGAGGGAGGGAGGGGTAGAGTTTAGGAAAGAAGAAAGCATATTGACTCTTAATACCACTTGAATATTAATTAATATGCGACTCATAGTACAATATTTTAACACTAAAATTATGCATTTTAAAGGTACGCCTTTTCTCAAATAGAAAAGATTTTATAAGACAGAGGGAATATATAATAATCAATCACTTTCTCTATTGCAACACGATTCTGACGAGTATGGAGCATTGTAGGAGTAAAGGCTAGCGAAAACGCATTGAACCATAGCAAATACAACTCCAACGATCGAGCCAGGTATGTCTCTTGCAAGAAACATAAACAGTCCTGCTATGATCCACAAAAGCTGCACACATAGACACAAACATATATTGATAAAATAATGATTGGAGAAAAGATTCTGTATAATTCTAAAGGTTCTTATTAATAACAAAGTTCAAACCTCTTTATATAAGAAGATGGAATAACCAAATAAGTAATCTTCTATTCCTAGCTTAATAAGAATAATATCAAACTAAAAAAACAAAAGTTTCTTCCTTTTCCACTTTAGTCACGCCAATGATATACACACACACACACACACACACACACATATATCTATATATATATATATATACATATATCTATATATATATATACATATATATCTATATATATATATAGTGGATTTTACCTAAATAGTATTAAAACATAGTGATTTTTCCAAAGTAGTACCATATGTTTTTATTTTCCAATGTAATACTTTTGGTCATTATTTAAGTAAATATCCACCGACACTGGACATTGTTCAAACTAAATGTCCAACATCACTGGACATCGTTCCCCCACTAGACATTATTCAAGTACTAATTAGAAGTTAAAAAAAGTTCAAGTACTACATTGTAAATTACATATGTTTTAGTACAATTTATTGCAAATTTCACACACACATGCATATATTAGTCACGCCAAAGCATGCATCCGCACAAGACCCATTATTCGAGGTTTATTATTTTAAGTATTTGATATTTTGAATTTAATATAAAATAATATCTTAATATGCAAATTGTTTTAAAATTGATTATTACCAATCAAATTTAGCACTAATTTTACAGCACAAGTGCTCTGCAAAAAATAAAACAAGGCCCAACACGTGAATTTTACACATTTTCAATATCATTATATATATATATATATATATATATATATATATATATATATATATATAATTTTATATCCAAAATAGAATAATAGTATGAGAAAAATTAAAAATCACACACCATGCTAAGAAAAAAAGAATCCCATCACAGCAGCCCTCGTTTTGGTCATTATGGCAACCTGCACAAAAAACTCCATTTGATAAATTTAATATAAAATTTATAAAAATTAGCAAGAGGTGTTATATCTATATTATATTAAATATGACTAATAAAATCAAATAAAAATTAAGGGAAAAGTTTGAAACACAAATAGATAAGTGGGATGATTAATTCAAGACGAATGGACGATCGTTAGTTATAGTCGACGGGAAAGAATGTGGGTGAGAGGAAGATTCCTAAAAGAAGAGAGAGGAACGCCGTGTTTGGGCACAACGCTTTCAATTTATGTTATCATTTTAGATAATTTCATAATAGTGCATATTAATTTAAAAATGTTAAAAATAAATATGTTATTTCATATATAATATTTTCAAAACGTTAAAGCTAAAATCGTACTTCCTCCGTCCCATAAAATATTTCAGAGTTGAAAAATAGTGCACCTTAAAAATGTATAGATTTGATATAATTTTCAAATTGTGACTCATCCATCCAATACACCATATCCTACCCTATTATAAACTAAGGACAAAATTAGAAAATAATACAAAAAGTATACAATTTAAAGGTGCACCATTTTTCAATTTTGAAAGTTTTATAGGACGGAAGAAGTATTACTTAATTGTTGGCAATAAGGGAAAACAAGTGACCCGGTTTGGATCGAAAAGGGAAATTAAAAAGTTGTGTAGGGTTGTGGCTAGATAAAACTACCACTATAAGAGTTTGTAGGGTGCTTTCTTGAGGAGACGAGTTAGTCTGGGGTTTCCCCATCCCCATTTGATCAAAAAAAGACACTATTATTTGTGCGTGTCTATGCAATATATATGTGGTCATGATAGGCCACAAAATGTTGGGGTTATCCTAGCATGGCTCTAATTAAGAGTTTAAAGTTTTTTCCCCTAAACAGACGTTATTTAACAATAAAGAGACTTTTTCCCTTGTTTAAAACATTAATAATAAATTTAAGTTACAATAAAAAAGTACATAAATTAGTCACTACAACCACAATCACATTGTCACTGCACTTCCACCTAGGGACGAGTTCATTTTTTTTCTTTGATTTTTCCCTAAAACCAAAGACACAGAGTGGAATGTAATTTGGCAGTTCGGTTATTTTTTTTAAAAAGTAAACGGTTGATTTTCGGTTTAGTTTTTTGCGGTGTAACCCTTCGTTTATTTCAATTATTCGTTTTTCGACAATACATTTTTCAAAAGTATATTACATTTATCACATTAAAAAATTGTAAACAGTGCACATATCCATAAACAAAATAGAAACTAGCTATATGTCCCAGAACTTACAAATATCTATCCAAAAAATTGCAATTGCAGTCCAAAATTGAGAAATTGCATACAAGGCATAGGTGCTTACTTGCTCACATTTAAAAATTGAAGTCTTGAACCATGTAGTATGCATGTTCAAAATGAAACCTACATAAAAATTAAGCAATTTATAGATTTATACCTTTCAATTATATTTTCAACATCCAAAAATAAATTGAGGCAACAAAAGTTTAAACCTTTAGGGGTAGGGAGTGAAAACTTGAAAGGGTTATCCATCTCCAAAACAGATATGTATGTACAACACACACACAGCAACCACCAAAGAATACGATATGTGGCACAAAGCTTGTTACATCACAAGTTATTGTGAAAGATGATTCAGTCTGTGTTGTAACATCTTTTATGTCACAAGAACTATAAGTAGAAAAGTAGTAAACAACACACAAAATGTTTACGCAGTTCCGAGTAACTTCTCCTATATCTGCGAGGCCCACGTCTGTGTAACATCCCTTCACCAAATCACTGTAGAGCTTACACCTTCAATCAACAATAAACTCTATCTATGTATTAAAATAAATCTCTTACACGTGATATGACGACAAACTTTGTTTGCGTCCAACTCTTTGGCTTGTTATAGCTTCTCCAAGATATGCTTTCAGGACGTGTTGCTGGCCTAATTCCAAAACATCAAAGAATGAAGAATTATTATTTTCTATCGAATAATAACAGAGGGCTAAGCCTCGCATAAATAATACAGCAGAATCCTAACTACGGAAGGAAACCTATACAAGAAAGCTACCATGGATACAATGATTACATAATTAATAGTAAATATATACATACTATATTTAACATGCGCCCAACTACGTGACCGGTGATGGACGAACGCCGAGGCTGTGCTTGAAATCAGAAAAGAGGAGAGACGGGAGCCCTTTGGTGAAGATATCTGCATACTGAGAAGAGGAGGGGACATGAAGGACTCGAACATGACCTAGGGAAACTCTGTCTCTGAAAAAGTGAATATCAACTTCAACATGCTTGGTGCGCTGATG